ACCCGTATCGGCCCGTTCTAAGTAATCCCGAGTCAATCCAAGCACGCTGCCTCGAATTGCCTATCCTCTTTGTGGCGGCCATATTTACAGAAAAAATTATTTTTCATGTTTTCGGCGGAAGGACTTTGTTTCCATGGCCAGAAATAAATTAATTAAAAAAAAAGTGGAGGTATATACAGGTGCCCGTGCGATGGGCACATCGATCAATGCATTAACTGCGATTATTAACATTAATAAGTTTTATTAGTTACACTTTAATAGTTATTTGTTATGCAAGTCTACAAATTTGTTCTTTGACGCGAGGGTTTTTTTGAAACCTGAGTAAGCGAAAAATAGAATCCAGAACGTAACGAGGGAGCGAAAAACACAACTTTTCATCTCACTATAGTGAGAAAAATGGTAGATGAAAGAAAAACAGTTGAACTATAACAAATCAGTTTTAATAAACAAAATTAGTTATCGTTGTCAATTTAATGTCAACAATAATAAGAACAAGATATACCAACGGATTTATATTATAAATAATATGCGACAAATCGCTTTGTTGAACGCATCATTATGTTTCTTTTTTTCATCGAAACAAAAAGTTTGGTGTGTCACAGTCTATCGTCAAGTTCGAATTTCAAAAAATTCTAATGAGAAAGGAAGACTTCCCAAGATAGTCAGGTGAAAATAAAACTTTTATTAACTGCTAACCTAAATATCCCGTAAAAATTATGTAAATTGACAATATATAAAATGATTGTTATCTAAAAAGAGCTTTATATAAAATGTTCAAGTTAAATCAGCGTTATCTGTTTTAAAATTAGTTTTTGATTTCAATACAAGGCGGATTTGTGGTCGCGGTGTCGCTCAGGGCTTGTAACTTGGGCCGGCCTTACTGTTCAGCCGACGTACACGTCAATTATTAAACAATGCAATCGTGGCAGAACCCTAGCTTTAATACTTCAGCGACTGATCTGGGTCACAGCGTGGGAACCTTGGAGTGGAACAAATAATTCAAGAGCCTACTCTACCCGTGCCCGTGTGAGGAATCACGATTAGTTTTGACTTCTAACCGGAAGTGGATTAAAAAAGCTTTGGTTTTGATGTTATTTAAGCAGACTTCAAGGAAATGTTAATAAAATTTCGATTATCTTTAGTGCGTTACTGGTCGTCTAATTCTTTGATATACAAAGCACAAGTTCGATCGTGTATGGAGCACTGCTGTTAGCTGCTTTGGACCTGGTGGAGCGAAAAACAAAGAGACTTATTAACAACAATTCTCTTGTGGAGTTGAAACTACAAAATCTCGACCATAGCAGAAAAGTAGCCTGCTTGTCGGTTTTCTATCGGATACATTTTGGGGATTGTGCGCAGGAACTTTTCAATATACTTCCACCTTTATCGTTCCTCTTTCGGTCGACTAGAAGGTCCGGAACACTCCATCCTTATGTCGTTGATATACCACCAATTCGCACTAAGCGCTTTGCTTCCTCCTTTCCGATGCATGCGACAAAGGAATAGAATACTCTACCGGAATCGATGTTTCCCGAAACGTACAATTTGGAGCTATTCAAGACTAGAGTGAATAGGCATTTTTTAGGCAAACGCGTTCCATTGTAGGTCACATCGTCGCTTAACATCAGGTGAGATTGTGGCCAAGCGTGTGTCTATTATATATTTAAGAAAATACAAGGTAATTTGTAAAATGCCAACCGCCTCGCTAGACTAACTTTTAGGAGGAATAGAGGTCCTTGTGAAAGAGTTCGTCCAGGGTAGTACAGCCTTACCTATTTCGGCCGCCGGTTTTGAAGGGTAAGTGTAAGTAAGAAGGGTGCTGGTGAAATTGCAGGCACGTGAGACTTGTCAACTTATGTCTCAGGGTTGCGGAGGCAATGGCAGTGCCCCTGAGATCTTTGCGGTTTAAAGCTCTCAGTAGCACTTTTATGGACAGGCGTGTTACTTAACGCCAGATCCACGACTTGTTCGTTCTGTCACTTGATA